CTACTACAGTTCAAAAGTGTGAAAAATTAGAAAGTTTTAAAATAGTATTATAAAAAAAAACAAATGTAATAAAAGATCATGAAAATCACAAATCAATTTGTAAATATAATTTGATCAAAGAATTAATGATATCTTACCATTTCCACAAATTAATTTTTTCCACGCCCAATAGAAAGAAGCGAGTGGGGCTCTGCTTATCCACATTTCCAGCCCTTTTTACCTTCTCCATGTACATACATTTATTGTTTTAATCGAAATCTATTGGAGCAATTTAATATTATTCACCAGATTTGTTATTTTTAATTTTAATTGAATCAACTTCTATCTTTTTTATTATTTTCTATTAAAAACATTACATTCTGAAGGAATGCCAAGTACATTAACCGTAGTGCGATAGATTTCGTAATAGTTAAATTAAGGTTTAAATACAGGACAGAGTCTGTCCCGGTGGGACGTTTAATGTTATGTCTGAAATACGGGACTTCCCGGGAAATACTTAATCTTTAGAAGTTCGAATTTTAGATATCCCCTCCTCAGTATTCTTATCCGCTTTAAAATAATGTTAAACTTAAAAGATCACATCATGCTGATGAAGTGCAATTTGTATCAAAATTTTTATATGACTTTATCTTTAAAATGACGCCGATTTCGTCCTTTAATTGTTACAAACAAAATAGCTGCGAATTAAAAAATAAAACGTTAAATTTCCTCAAGAACTTTTTTAAATTTATTAAAAAGTGTCCTCTTTGTAAGTATAAAAACGGCATATTTCTAACAGTTATAGTAATAAAGTTATCCATTTGTTTATAAGCAAAAAATGAAAGCACTTTTGTAACATTTGCAAAAATTAAAATGTCTTTTTTTCGTATTCTAATTAAACATCGTTATAGAAAAACACCTCCCCTTCCAAAAAAACCTACAAAATCTCTTTCTGTCCAAAGTTGTGCGTACTACGTTATTGCAAAAATAACTTCTCTGAGATAAACAATTTCAATTATTCAAAAACTAATGAAAGAATTAAATTGAAATTTTAACCACTTGTTAAGTATTATTAAATCTATCTTTCCACATAATAACATGATATATAACAATTTGTAATAGTTATTGTTAATTTTAATGAATTCTACGGGTTTTTACGATTTTTTAAGCAATAAATTAACATTTTGACAACAGTAAAAAAAGCTCATTTGTACATTTCCCACAAGATGATTACTGTGAATTGTTGCTTATATTATTTATTTTTCATTAAGATACAATACGCGAAAATTTGCTATTTTTTTATTTTAATTGTTTATTACTTGAAAATTGCAAAGAACTTTCTACAGAAAAAGTATAGGAGTAGTTATTCCTATGGGCCTATATTACCTAAAATATACCAAGGAATGTATAATACTAGTATTTATTCAATATACTGAGAACGTATAATGCAGCAACCACCAAGGCTTTCCCAGTGAGTACTCGTAGTACTACGTTCACTACATAGCGCAGTACATACAGCACCCACTAAAAACCACCTTTACTCTGCCGTGATGCAGTGTGAGACATATCCAGCGAGGACCCACCGTACTACATCTTATATACGTAATACATTGAGTACTACACTAGATAATGCACCACAGAATACAAATAGTTAACTTCGCACTTTACCAGAAACATACGATATATATACGTTTCAAGCGAGTACCCACCGTACTACGAGAATATATACGTATGTACAGCAAGTACCCACTTAAAACAGACACCTTCATTATACCTGGACAAAGGACAAATGATTCAGCGAGACACTTCCGGTGAGTACCCTCCGTACTACCTCGCAGTACAGGTAGTATTCACTGAAAGACGCCGCGATTGTATTGTATTGTATTGAATATTGTAACATCGCATTATTAATTGTTTTTATTGTATTACATGCAATTAATACACTTAGCAAATTAAAATTAGGAAAATGATTCGAAGGCTTTTCCAGCGAGTACCTTCCGTACTACGAAGATACAAAAACACAGTACGAATAGTAGACGCTAAAAAGTGCCTTCAAGCCTCCCTGCGACATCCAACGCACTGACGATAACGCAATGCTTGCTGCATTGCTGACATAGCTTTATGGAATACAAAATAACCACAAAAGCTACGACAACAACGCAGCACGAATTACCATTTTATTACTCTTACTTGCTCCCACGACGAAGATCTACACCCATTGCGAATGTTCGATCTAGTCACAGCGGAAATCTGAGACTACAACCGAACACCCGTAAGGAATCGTAGACTGACTGATGGTGTACTAGTGATGATGTGATGTGACTGTTTCCTGCCGTTGTGAAGTAACTACTGGCTGTGATATGACCAAATCCACATCACACCAATAGTTCCTTTACAAAAAACAAGAAAACTTCTTCTCGTAGTA